ATGTATTCTGCATATAAGTTAAATGAGCAGGGGGACAATATACAGCCTTGTCATACTCCTTTCCCAATTTTGAACCAACCAGTTGTTCCATATCCAGTTCTAACTGTTGCTTCCTAACCCACGTATTGATTTCTCAAGAGATGGATAAAGTGGTCAGGCACTCCCATTTCTTTAAGGACTTGCCATAGTTTGCTGTGGTCCACACAGTCAAAGGCTTTTGCATAATCAATGAAGCAGAAGTAGATGTTTTTCTGGAACTCTCTGGCTTTCTCCATAATCCAGCGCATATTAGCAATTTGGTCTCGAGTTCCTCTGCCCCTTCGGAATCCTGCTTGTACTTCTGGAAGTTCTCGGCCCACATATTGCTGAAGCCTACCTTGTAGGATTTTGAGCATAACCTTGCTAGCGTGTGAAATGAGTGCAATTGTCCGGTAGTTGGAGCATTCATTAAGAACCTCTTAATGAGGGTGAAAGAGCACCAAAATGGTCTGAAGCTCAACATCAAAAAAACTAAGATCATGGCCACTGGTCCCATCACCTCATGGCAAATAGAAGGGGAAGATATGGAGGTAGTGACAGATTTGACTTTCTTGGGCTCCATGATCACTGCAGATGGTGACAGCAGTCATGGAATTAAAAGACCCCTGCTTCTTGGGAGGAAAATGATGACAAACGTAGACAGCATTTTAGAAAAGACCCTGATGTTGGGAAAGTGTGAAGGCAAGAGGAGAGAAGGGGACGACAGAGGACGAGGTGGATGGACAGGGTCATCGATGCCACCAACATGAATTTGGTCCAACTCCGGGAGGCAGTGGAAGACAGGAGGGCCTGGCATGCTCAGGTCCATGGGATCACAAAGAGTTGGATATGACCTAACAACTCAACAACAACAGCATTCTTTATTTCACAGCCGCCCACCACTGTGTCTGACAAATTCCCCCGACTGACCAGCATTTTAAAAGGTCTTTGGTGTAGGGGGGGAGAGGGAGAGCCCCCAATGATCAAAGAGATACAGGGGACCACCCCAGGGCCTCAGGGGTGGCACAAGCCAGGTCCAAAAACACTCACCCAGTCTTCTTGCAAAGATGGGGGGTTATCCAAAATGACCCCCTTGCACCCTTTGTACATACAGTGGTGTCCCGCATAGCGAAGTTAATCCGTTCTGGACTAACCCTCGCTATGTGGAAACATTGCTAAACGGAACGGAAAAGCCCATTGGAATGCATTAAATATCATTTAATGTGTTCCAATGGGCCCCAAACTTACCGTTCAGTGAAGTTTCCCCCATCCGGCAGCCATTTTCGTGCCCTCGGTAAGCGAGGGCAGGGCGCGAAAATGGTTGCGGCGGCCGTTTTGGGTCATCCGGTGGCCATTTTGGAATCTCCGAACAGCTGATTCCCCGACGTCGCAATGTGAAGATCGGTAAGCGAAACGCTTACCGATCTTCGCAATGTGAGATTTTGCCTATCTAGGCATCAGTATGCCTTCGCATTAGCGATCCTTTTTTGGGATCGCTATGTGACTTTGTCGTTAAATGGTGCACTTGTTAAGCGAGGCACCACTGTACAAAGATATGCATGAAAAGGATTATCTTTAAATACATATATATGTTTGGAATGCAGGCAGGTCCCAGAGGCCCTCAAAATGTCACAAAATTGCCCACAGCAGAACCTCCCTATAAGGAATTCATTTTTCCCATTTCTGATAGCTGTTGGAATGGAAACAAAGGAGAGACGTCCATTGCAACATTACCTATTCCTGTTTGGGATAAAAGGGGAATCCTAGTAAAGTGAAGTTGGAAGGGGCCTCCAAGGCCATCAAGGCTAACCCCTCCCCCCTCAGCTCAAGGCAGGAGTTTGAATCCAAGCAGATCTGCCAGGGGACAATCTCAAATTCTCTTGAAGTCCTGCAGGTTTGGAGCTCTCCCCAACTCCCGAGGTGACCGGTTCCACTCTCGTCCTGCTCCAACGGTTAGGAAGTGTGGCAGAATGCCAGAGAGCCCTTGTTGAAAAGTCAATGCATGAGGGAAGAGTGGAGCCGGGGTGGGGGTGGGGTGGGACCCCCCCTGCACGTTTATAAAGACTTGCATGGATTGCTTTTATTGGGTTTGTAGGCAGGAGCAGGAACTCCAGGGTGAAACCACCTATACGTTACTTGGATACTTGGCAGAATTAAAGTTGGAGAAATGAAATGTGAGATTACTGCACTCCATCTTAGCCAAAGGGCCAAGAAGCTGTTATCTCGTATCAAAGTTGGTTTGAAAGGTCTGATGTGGAAATGGATCTCAATGAGAGAAAGAAATGTGTTTCCCTGAAAGGCCCAGCTGGTCACTAGTTGAGCTCAACTCCCTGCTTTCCTGTTCCTCCCTCTGAGTCCCCCCGTTTCCCTTCGTTTTTTCCCGCAATGGTTCTGCTCGGTATTTCCAGGAGATGAGGTTTCACTCACCAGAGGCTGATTCAGAGGTGGCTTTGGAGGCTGATGGCCGGGTTCCTGCAGACAAACCAGATTGAGAGTCACTGGTTCAGAAAGAGACCCGAGAGGTCCTCTAGTCTGACCCACCAGGCCAAGGAAGGATTTAAAAAACCTCGCGTCCCAACCCGGACTATTTCTGTATCTCTCCAACAACAAGCACACCCAAGTGGTTGAGGGCTCGGCACCTTTGGGAGAAAACATCTGCCTTTTGGGGATGTCGTGGCCCCAGCTCCCTGAAATGCCTGGGGATGTTCTTGACCCCCTTGAGTCCTGTCCAGGTGAACCCCCCCTCCCAGTCCAGCAAGGTCATTCAGGGCTCCACTTACGGAGGGAGAAGTAGACCATTCCAGCCAGCAGCAGGAGGGCGGCCCCAGTCCCCAAGACACCCCCCACGAGGGGCCATGCTGAGCCTGAAAGGGGAGAGAAATGAGGGAAAGGGTGGGGAGTGGGTCACCCCCCAAAAAAACTCATCTCCTCCTAGTGGATTATCTCAAGAGCTCCGCTGTGCCCTCTCCGGGAGGGGGGAATAATCTACCAAGTGTTGAAACCCCCCCACCCGATCCCAAATAAAGCATAAGAAAGTTTGAATTTAAGCCATGTCGCCTCTAGAGGGCAGTAGGAGGCTTTTATTTTCAGAGGGAAAATCATTTTCAGGAGGAAAAAGAAAGATGGGTTATGGGAACAGGATGCTGGGACCCTATTGGCCACCCCTGAACCCCTGGAGATGGCCCGACCCCTGTTTCGACCCCTAGTCCGAGACCTCGTGTCCTCCCAAGATCTGCTCCAAGGGAGGCTCGTCTTAGGGGGCCTTCGGAAGAGCCCCCCTTTCCAAGCCTCACCCAACAGGCTGCCTCTCACCTGGCCCCTCCCAGCCCACGTCCAGGGGTTCCTGGAGGCCGGCATGTTCCACGTGGCACCGGTAGTGGCCCCTCTCCTTGGGGTCGATCTGGAGGCTCAGCTGTGCCTGGAAAGTCCCGTCCGCGTTGGGGAGGGCACCTTTCCGGAGCGTCTCCTGCAGGAAGACTTGGCTGTCCTTCACCCAGGAGACGTTGATCTCTTTGGGGTAGAAGCCGTCCGCGCGGCACGCCAGCGTTTCCAGGCTCCGGCTGGTCCCAACGCGGGTCACCCTCACGGCTGGGGGCTCTGGCGAAATAGGAAAAGAAGACAGCGGAAGAAACGATCAAAGGAAGACCAGTTGACCACAGGAGGTGGCTCAAGTTGGATCCCGGGTGTGCTTCTGGGCGTTACCCAGCAAAAGAGCTCAGGTCTTCGAGATGGGAGCTTTGGGGACTACAAAGCCCCAAATCCCCAAGTCATTAGGGCCAGGGCACTGGGGACCCTCCCAGGCCAGCCTCTGCTCTGCCCTTTCTTCACAGGCCCCCCCCCTCCTGCCTCTTCTTCCTCCCCGGGGCGAGTCTTGCGATGGGTGATTAGAGAGGCAGCGGGGGCGAGCAGCATTCCCTCCCCCCCTTTACAAGGAGATCTGCTTCCAGTTCGGAATCAGGTTCGTGATCCTCAGAAACAAGGCACGAGTGGGAAAACATTTCACTCTGAGACTTCCACGCCATGTAAACCTGATTTGTACCTTTTAAATAACCTTAAAACCCGACAGGCAACTTTTCAATAATGCATTTCACTCTGAGACTTCCACGCCATGTAAACCTGATTTGTACCTTTTAAATAACCTCAAAACCCGACAGGTAACTTTTCAATAATGTTTGAATGTGTCCTTTCTCTTAGGGAGGCCCTTCCCTCTGTTTCAAGGCCTCCTCGGTTTGGAAGGCTATCCACCCCGTGTCTGATTTTAGGATCACGAACTCAAGTTCTCATCCTGCCCCTGTGCAGTTCAATTAGCACGTGTCCTTTACTGCCCAACGGGATCCTCACTTTAAATGTTATTTCTTTCTTTTTGAGGACTGCATATACACAGCCATTCAGCTGGAGGAAACATGACTGTGTTTCCCTCCCCATCCTGTGTAGGTTTGTGTTCGGGGACTACAAATGATGCAGCTGGGGAAGGCTGGGCTTTGTAGTCCAGGAACCCCGACCTGCCCCTCTCCCGCCCCCACCTTTCCTCCGCAGCTCCTCCTCCTCCAGGTACGGCAGGTGTCTCTTCAACCACCCGGTGCAGTTCCTGCCCCAGAAGCTTTTCCGGTGCCTGTAAAGGTCCCACGTGGCCTCCCACTTCCGGATCTCTCGCCCGTCATAAGCCTCCCGGTGGAAGGAATTCTCCTGCCCATCGTCCCCCAGCTCACAGCCGTCAATGCACTGCAAAGTATGAAACCCTAATGGAGAAAAACATCAAAAAGGTGAAGGCAATGGGGGTCCAGAACCCAGGGCAGGGTTCCCCCCCCCCACAACAGCCCCCCTGCAACAAGTGGGGTCAGACTGAGCCTTAAGGAGAAGGCACCTTCTCCAGGACCACCCTCTCCGCCTTCCTGGGTGCTGAGGCATTTCATCAGAGGCATCTCTCAACCGCCAGACTTGCAAATTAAGCCAGTGTTTACCTCCCAGCGACCAATCACAGAGCAAGGACGGTGAAAGCAGACTCAATGCCATGGAGGAAGGGAGAGAAATACCGTATTTTTTTCCATGTATAAGACAACCTGTTGTATAAGACGACCCCCACTTTTCCAACCCCAAATAAGATTTGATTGCTGCTTTAAAAAAAAAAAAAGGAGACAAATAAATGAAGTTCTCTTTATCATCATCAACTCAGTCCTCCACTCACCAAAGGCTACACGAAGTGAAATGGACGGGTGATACAACTCAGGGCCTCACTAGACAAAACATGCTGATTCCCTATTGAGAAGCAGGATGCTTCAAAGAAGATTTTTTTAAAAAAAAACAACAGTCTGTGTATTCAAACACACACACTTGACTTAACCTCCGTTTGGTGCATTCACTTGCTTTTCGCTGTAAAGAATGAGCTAGCATGGCTTTGTTTGTCCATCGGATGTCTCCGGCGAGTCGCCCTGAAAGATTAGCGTGCCTCGAGGGATGGGGTTCTAATATCCTTCCATTGTACATTCAGATCTGAGCTTCTGCATATCCGTTTTCTTGCACACTCTGTTCCCACAGATCAGAAAATTTACTTTTCCAGACTACAGTTCCCAGCAGGCTCAACTATTCCCCCAAATCACAGCCTCCTCTTTTGGCTTCCTCCTCTCTTTCTCCCCCCCCCCTTTTCAGCTGGCACAAAACATGCTTTATTAATTACGACACATAAACATGGATCTTCTCACCCTGGGGAGTGCAGAGCACAGAATCCTCATCGCTCCCATCTTGGCAGTCAAGAGACCAGTCGCAGATATAACGCCAGGGAATGCAAGTCCTGTCCCCACATTCGAACTCGCTGCTGGAACAGGAATTGGGTTCTCGGCCAGCATCTGGAAGTAAAAGAAAGAGGAGCGAGGAATCAGTGCTGGGGCTTACCTCCCTTCCCCGTAAGACAAGTGGGAAATCCCCCATTACGATGTGATTAATCCTGGAAGTAACTATTTGCGAGTAACTAATTACTTTTCAGGTATGCAAATGTAACTTTTGAGAGTAATTAGAAATCGTCAGTTGTTGCACTGGAAAAGTAACTGCTTATATATAAAAGCTCCTTTCTCAAAGCTGTTCTTCTTATATATCATGTGGATGCCCTCCAACCCATTTTTAAAGAGTTTTTTTTAAAAGGCTTTTAAAATGTTGAAGATGATGGGGGAGGAGCAGGGAGCCTCTCACCGGGGCTGCGGCTGCTGTTCCTGCGAGGGAGGAGGCCATTCTGCAGGATCCGCAGGTAGTGGCCGAATCCTTCCTGGTTGAGGCTGGCCAGGGTGGCCTGAATCTCCCAGTAACTCTCCATCACCTGCACGCTCTGGTTCATCCAGGGTGCCAGGGGGACCATCCTTCCCGTGTGGCTGTCGTAGCGCTCAACGGGCCGCCCGTCCAGGTAGCCCACCTCCAGGTAGCCAGTCAGCCCTGAGCCGGGCTGGGAGATGCAGGTGCGGAAATAGAGCAAGGAGTGAGAGGAGCCGGTCCCTGCAAAGCCAGAGAGAGAGAGAGAGAACCGCAGGCAGTCTTGACATGAATATTGTCATCCCCTTCCTTTATCATCACACACACAAAAAAAACACACACCAAACAAGCCCTGGGAGAGGTCAGGCTGAGAACATTCCTGGATGGGTCTCAGAACCGATGGTGGACTTGAACTCGTTTCCCCTGAATCCTACGCCTACTGGTTGTTGTTGAACCGATGGTGGACTTGAACTCGTTTCCCGTGGATCCTATGCCTACTGGTTGTTTTGGGTTTTTCGGGCTCTCTGGCCGTGTTCTGAATGTTGATCTTCGTAACGTTTCGCCAGCCTCTGTGGCCATGGGCATCTTCAGAGGACAGGAGTCAGAACTCGGTCTGTGCTCTACGCCCGACTCTCTGAATAACCACCGCATCAGACTTGCTGGGCCACTAGTTGACATCTGCATCATCCTCAGCAGCATCCTGAGCCCTCAAGGTGATTCCAACCTAGGGCCACCATCCCTGATTTTTCTAGGTGTGGAAGGGACACCGAAGCCTTTTCCCCAGGACCACCTTCTGGGGGCGCTCTGGAGCAATGGCACAACATGCCCAAGGCCACACAAGTGGCAAGGCATACATACACACACACACACACACACACACACACATACGGGGGGACGGAGGGTAGGAGCACCACACACGCTCCCTGCAGATCTTGGCCGCCCCTCTCACAGAAGGCGCCCCAAGGGAGCTGAACCTCTCGGGTCCTGATGACGTGGACTTGTCCACGAAAGCTCACATTTAAAAAGAAAAAAAAGTTAGTCTTTAAGACGCCACCACCTCTTTTTGTCTTTGTTTTTTGTTTTGTTTTCCCTTTTTTATTTTTATTGTGTTTGCACCTACAATGCTTGGGAAACCCTCTCACTCTCCCTGGAAGTCTCTGGAGCCGGTCGATGGCGCAGGTGGGGACACCCGGCCTTGCTTGCGGGAGATCGAAACGGGCTCGTCGTCAATGCCAGACACACCAAATGGGTTGACCCAGAAAGACACACAGAGAGAGAGAGAGAGAGTGTGTGTGGAAAAGTCACAACCCTCACAAGTCCGCTGCTAGTTTGGTCCCCACAAGTTGTTGTCAAGAGGAAGCAATTATTTGGACAGTCTCTCTCTCTCTCTCTCTCTCTCTCTGTGTGTGTGTGTGTGTGTGTCCTCCTTGAATGACTGGCATGACTCCCAGACTCCTATGATGAGAATTGAGATGGTGTGGTGGGCTGAGGGATGGGTCCTGGGTTTGAATCCCTCTCTTACCGTGAAACTACAGAAACCATTCCTTAAAACCCCTCGTGAGGACGCCTGCCAGCCAGTCTGGGCTTGACAACCCCTCACATGGGTGCACCACACACACCGTGGCTGCCCTGAGTCCCACACACAGGGGTGCGGCCATAAAAGCACCACAAACCGCTCCCGGGATAAACGAGACAAAGGCATCCTTACCTAAGTGTAAGATAGGCAGGAAATGGA